CTAAAAAGTTGTTTTAGAAAACAATAAAAAAGCTATTCCTACCAAAGCCTTAGTCATAATCTTCTATCCATTTTAGGTATTTTTTTTAGTTAGAGCATTACTAATAAATCAGGCTTTCGTAGTACTTTAATTTTGAGAATAATCGTAGCGGTGTAAACACCTGCAAATTTATTTGCAGCTATAAATTGCTTCGAAAACGTCATATTTTTGGTAGTGGAACATCGTGGATTTAGCGATATAATTTTAGATACACTATTCTCTGATTTGATAATATATCATTTGATGTTGTTATAAATCAATTCTTAAAATTCACAATAATAAAAAAGATTACATCCACAATTTTCTCTCAAAATTAGGTGAAATAGTAGGCTCACCATCCATAAGGTCCACAATTTTTTCACAAATTAAATTTGCTTTGAGAGCAGCAATTATAGGAGGATTTTGCATTGCACTAATCTCAAAGTAAATTCAATGACTTCTAAAATCTCATCCTAATATAATTTAAATCAAGATGTCATTATATATGTTTTTCTCTATTTTATATGAGCTCTCATGAATCATGATCATGAATGAATAACATCAAGCTTTAACTTAAGTTTAAGTGATTTGTTCCTTAGCTCACTGGATTTAGGTCATAAATTTAAGTCAAGCTATAATATTGTTTAGATTTTGTTTGAGACAGCTGCAATATTTTTTAAAATTGATTATGAAATTATTGCGAAGAAAGTAACTTTCCTGCTATGGTTGCAGAGAGTAGCTTTCAACTACGAAAATTTTTGAAAACAGTGAAAAAGTAACAATAAAGCAGTAGTCAAATAAAATTATGATTGCTATCTGAAAAACAAAACAGGCGGAAAGCTATTCCATTTATTTAAATATTTACTAACTCTTCATGTAAAATCTTGAATGTAATTGATCTTATGCCTCCTTGTTTATAACTATTCTCATATCTATTGATCTAAAATTGTCATTATGCCCTATTTTAAAAAAATAATAATAAATAAATAAATAAAACCTTGCTTGAGCAGGTCAACCAAAATAATTAAAAAAAAAAAAAAAAAAAAAAGTTTTCAAGGTAAGTAGCTCAACAGATCTTTTCTTATCAGATGATCTTTTGAAATAAGATCAATTTAACAACAATTTTAAAAATGATTAATTATTTTTGTGTTGAGAATTAAGTATTGTTAGTTGTTTGATCAAATTAAGAGAATTTGATCGCTGAACAGATCTGTGTTAGGCTGTCGCTTTAGTTCATATTTGAAGGAGAAATGAAAGCTGCTTGTGAACGCTAATTCTGGACGGGGATTTGGATTTTAAAAAAATGGTTGGTTTTCCTTTAAGATTAGTGCAATATAAATTTTTTATTTACTCGTGTTAATCTTAAAACAAATATTCTGATTTTTCAAGTCAATTCATATTGGCGGGGCAAGTTTGGGTCAGACGTAAAATGGACTGAATTCGAAAAATCTGACCCGAATCCGACCCATTTACATATTTATTAAATTAATGTTTGATTGAAAACTGACTCATTTGACCCGTTTATCTTATAGATAGTATAATTTTTTAAACGAACATGACCAATTTAATCTTAATTTGAACTGTTTAACCCAAAAATGACTCGTTTAACTAGAACACCTGAATTCGAATAATAATCGGGTCATCTTTTACTTATTTTTGGATTTTTGGGCCAACTTGAATCCAACACAAAGATTAATCTGATCATTATTTTTGGCTAGAACATGTTTATGTTGAGTTACTGGATTAGGTCATTTATTTATACCCCTAATTTTGATATGAATTTCTTTCCATTGAATTTTAGCACGAATTCTATTAATCAAGTATGATATAGTGCCCTATTTTGATATTTTTAATCACAATGAAATAATATGTAGTAATGTTCCACAGACCTTTGCAATAATATTTGTTGATTAGCATAAAGGTAAAAATTTCAGGAAGCTAATAATTAGCAATGAATTGTTTTCGTATAGTAGAATATTAAGCTTTTTCATCTCCAAATTTTTTAATATTTTAGAGTTAATTTAATTTAAAAATAGATTAAGGTTTCGTTTGAGATAGTTTTCTCATTACTATATTTTTCAGACCGCAGCTATAATTTCTATTTGGTCATTGCTTTTTTGCCGCTTTCATAAAATTTTGTATTTGAAAACTGCTTTGTACAACAACTTTAAAAAATTATTTTCCCTTCAATAGCTTTACAGAGTAGTAAGAAATACATCCTAAATGAAGCCTTAAAAATTCATATAAAAAATATCATGCAATAGAAGAATATCAACGATGTCATCCTAATGTTGAAATATGAAAATTCATCTGATCAAACATGAATCTTGATATATTATAAGAAAATTCATCTGATCAAACATGAATCCAATCACACACCACAACAGTACATTCTTATATGTTCGCCTTCTCATACTACTTATTCAATATCACATGAAGGTAAAAACAACAGCCCCTTATTTGAGCTTTGAGGCAATGAGGCATTTAGTAGGGAAAATCATTAGCTCCTTCAATTCCTCTTAACTTTCTACATCACCCTCATAAAAACGAATTTATTGTTCTTCTTTGTTCGTTGAGGATTTCATTGTATTGTCCTTTTTTGTCTTTTGTTTTTTCAAGTCATTGCCCCCTTCATATCATTGTGGTTGGATAAGTTAATCTTGAGGTCCGGACTTCTGCCGAATCATCACTTGAGGCCCGAACTTCTGCCGGACCACCACCTAACGCCCGAAGTTCTTCCGGACCACCACATGAAGCCCGGACTTCTGCCGTACCACCACCTGACGCCTGGAGTTCTTCCGGACCACCACCTGAGGCCCAGACTTCCGCCGGACCACCACCTGAGGCCCGAACTTCCATCGGACCACCACCTGAGGACCGGACTTCCATCGGATCACCACCTGAGACCCGAACTTCTATCTGAAAACACCTGAAGCCCAGACTTCTACCGGAACACCACTTGAGGCCCAAACTTCTCTCGAGCCACAATCTGAGGCTCGGACTTCTACCGGACCACCACCTGAGGCCTGGACTTCTACCGGACCACCACTTGAGACTATGACTTCTATCGGGCCACCACCTGATGCCTAAAGTTCTACCAGAATACCGACCTACTACAACGGTCTTTCTGACCCCTATCTCATACCAACTACGGTCTTTTGGACCCCTGTCTCCTGCCGACTATGGTCATTCTGACCTACGTCGTCTACTACAGTCCTTTCGACCTACATTGCCAGGCAACGATCTTTCTGACCTCGGTTGCTCGCATATTCCGGTCCTTCCGACCTGCATCGCTGGACAATGGTCTTTCTAACCCCAATCTCCTGCCTACTATGGTCTTTCCGACCTCCATCTTATCAACTACGATCTTACCGACCAAACAAACATGTTTATGTTGATTATTGTAACTCCCACAATGAAATGCGCTCTATATGATGTATATTTGTGACATCAAGCCAAGACATTCTCCCTAAGAAGGGCCTCATTTATAATCGACTGTAAATACTAGTGGATTTATTCAAACTAGGCCATGCCCCGTTGTTTTCCCCCATTTTCAAGGGTTTCCACATAAAAACTCTGGTGTCTCTTATGAGCGCTACTCATCTCTTATCTGCTTGTGTGATGGATCTTTGTACAACGCTAAGACATTAAACTATATATTTTTCTACCGCCGTGGATACTCCAGGACACAGGAATAATTATGTTCATAACTATTGATTTAAATTTAAATTTTATAGTTTGTAGATGTTTTTTGATAAAATTATTATGTGATGTAATGTGTAGTTAACACTCTTAAGTGTTGTGGATAAACTCTTTGAACTTGAAATGGATAATGTGGTTAAAGCTTAGTTCGGAAAATCTTTTTTATTGTTTCTTGAAGTAGCCTTTTACTACAAAAATTTTTTGTACTAAACAACTATTTTAAGAAGCAATAAAAAGCCAGTCACAAGCAAAATCTAATTTTGCTAATGCTAATATTATAATATATCGATTTAGGTTTTGATTGGGACGACTTTTTTGTTGCTTCTTAAAGCAACTTTATAGTATAAAATTTTAATTTTTGTACTAAAAAATTATTATAAGAAGCAAAAAAAAAAAAAAAATTTGTCCCAAACGAAATCTTAGTACCAAACTAAGATTAATTCTTATTAAAAATACCATATATTTCATTGAAATATCAATGAAATACATAGTTTTAAAATAACATGAATGGTCAAAATTTAAATTCATAGTATGATAATTAACTATAGTAATGTACAAATATTAAAAAAAAAAAAAAAACCTATATTAGTTATCATATAGACGATATAAGAAATTAAAATGAAAATAAATTAAATCAAAATCTATTGGAAGTGTATATTACTATCATCCAAAGAACAATCCTCTTAATATATTTATTTTCACAACAATAGCAAAATCAAATCTTTATCTCACTATATGAAATCCACTACTTAAATATATTTTATCCATTGTATGTATTCTATTAAGAGTCAAATTATAATTTAAATCTAATAAAAATATCATTTCTAATACTTTCTAATCATATTTTTTTACATCTACCTCTATCTTCCTTAATATAGACCATATTTAATACATCCACCCGCCTAACCGAATCATCAGAAAACCGAAGTTTTAAACTCTCTAATCTTAATACAATTTATTTTGTTCACTTTTATTATAGAGGATGGAACAATCATACATTAGTACATGCATCATATCACATGAAATCATGAACCAGATTGTTTTATTTTCTGATTCCATAAACAAAGTAGTGACTTTGAATTTGTAGAAGGATGCACAGGCAATAAGAGACCAAACAGTAGAACTGATATGCACCTTCAAAAAACCAAATGCTTCATCTTTGCAAATAAGCAAAGAAACATTGAAAAGTTACCAACTATTTCAAAGCCTAATTGTTTCAGAAATTTTTGCATGATATGAGATCTCCAGTTCTTCATGTAAACTTCCCTGCAACTCTTCCATAGAAATTTTGCTCTTAGAAATTAAAAAATCTTTAAGCATTTTCGTTGTATTTATCTAATACATCGTATACTTAAGACCTTATTTCTCTGATGAAATAAACTACAATGATACATATATCAGAAGAGTATTATATCCTAAAATTAAATAAAAAAAATTAAGAACTTGACAATAAGACTTAGACTTTGCATGGGATGGCTTTTTTGCTGCTTTTTAAAGCAGCTTTTAAGTACAAAAATTAAAATATTTGTACTAAAAAATTACTTTAAGAAGCAGTGAAAAAACTGTCAAACGAGGATTTAACCAGCAACAGAGACAGCTTCCTCGCATCTTTCAGACTCTGGAACTGAATTTTCTTCAGAAAAGCTGGGAGATTTTGGGGTCAAGCCAAGAATCTTGAACATCAATTGATCAGCATCGAAGTCATTGTTAGGAGTAGTTAATAATTTATCTCCAGTGAAGATGGAATTGGCTCCAGCTAGGAAACAGAGAGCTTGCTCTGGAATGGAGAACTTGACACGGCCTGCAGAAAGCCGAACCATTGCCTTTGGCATCACTATGCGCGCAGTTGCAATCATTCGAATCATTTCCCAAATCTCCACTGGCTGAAAAGATGAGAATTAGTGAGTTTGGCATCTTAGTTCCCCTATATAGTTCAACATAAAATCTTAAAACTGGATGCAAAATTTGATTTCAATGTGATGTTTACATCAAAATGATATTCTTGTTGAGGAGAAAATTTTGTTTCTGACAATAATCATCATCAAATATGTAAATTATGAACTATGATTTTAACATTTTAATGATATTCTCACAATAGGAGGGGTATAGACTTGGTGAGCTTTACCTGTAACTTCTAATGATTAGACATTTAGGTTTCATTTGGAACAGCTATTTTTTTTGCTTTCTAAAATAATTTTTTAGTACAAAACTAAAAATTTATTTTAAAAAACAGTAAAAAAGTTATCACAAACGAAACCTTAGACTTGTTACAACAGCAGTGATAAATTATTTGGGAACTGCTTTATGAATGGCTATTCTTCATTTTGCACTTAGCTAAGTGTAGCATGAAATATTAAATTTCTTCTGAGCAATTGATTTTTGCATAACTTCTAATAATATTAATTTGATGCATCCCCTTTGCGTCAGCTTTGACATTAATTTATCTAAATTTTTGTGCACTTAATTTTAGATGTACAAACCACCTAAGTAATAGATGCTACTACCACAAATCTAATCTCACTTGGAAGAGTAGCAAGCCTTCAATGCAAAACAACCTGAAAACAAAAGAATGAGTTTTCTCTGGTTAAGTCTAGCAATGCGTCCGAGCTTCATGAAGAAGTCAACGGTGGGATTCAACTCACTAAATAGTAGAAAAATGCCTAACTATTTTCTTTAATTGACGAGTAAACTACCAATCACTTTCTAAGGTAGTTCTAGACATCACTGTGGCCTTTTTAAATATAGAATACATCTTTGCTCAACCACCTACTAAATGTAAAAATCTTAACATCATTCAATTTTCTAAATTTTTTCTCTCCTTGCCATGATTTCATTTTCTCAATTTTATCCATCCTTACGAGCTATTTCATGATATTGTAATGGCACTATTTCAGAGAAAATACTTTATGATATTCTGAGGCCAATATTTTGAAGTTTTTGACCTCCTTAGTAGAGCGGACACCTAACTTTTCTATGATGAACCAAACATAAAATATTAAAAAATAAAGCCCCAAAAAAACCAAAACCAAGATTTATATTATTCGACCAAAAGCAGCTTCCATTCCTAGGAAAGAAAAGAGGCTCCAATCCATTTACACATCTATTAGTTCTGAGTGGAATCATATTGTATTGATCAATCGGGTTGTATTGTTGCCTAGGACCTCAAGTCAATTTATCGTGCTCGGTGTGGGGGGCGGGATCCTCCTGCTTGGGTTCGAGTACTTTGCACATGAAAATAATTTTTTTCCATACAATGCCCCGGAGTGGTGTACTTGAGCGCCACATCGTTGTGTACCAGAGCACCCCGGCGCTGTGTTCCCAAATGCCCCGGTGCTGCAAAGTTTGCTGGGAGAAATAACAGGAACAAAGCGCCGCAGTGCTACGAGTTTGAGCGCCGCAGCATCTTGATGATAGAAGCTTGAGTGCCACAGCGCTCCAAACTAGCGTTGCGAGGCGGACTAAACAGTTTTTCTTTCTCGTTTTTCTCAAGGGTGACATCCCTTGGTGTCATTAACTTCTTCTTTTGTTTTGAGTAGAGATCGGTGTATGAGACAAGAGAAACAAGGAGAGAGTGAGAGATAAGAGAGATTTGTACTTATTTCTCCCCTTTTTTTTCCGATTTCATATTTTTCCACATTAAATATTGGTGTCCTTTACTTTCCACTGTTTTTTCAGGTTTTTGTGTTTGTTTCGTTGTGGTGTTTACTTCCATCCCCAACTACATTGATGATGACATCCAAGAACTCTATAAGCAAAATTGATAAAGAAATCCTTCTCAAACCATGGATGGAGAACCCTCAAGCTCTCTCAAAACCAAGTCTTCTCTCCAATGCCAAAACTCATTTCTTGATTGCTTTCTATTGTGTGAACTTCATCCTGAAGATGGTATATTCCAGGGCACAGTAAGTGGTTAGATCATGTGTAATACTCTTCAGATCTAGTGCAAAATAATCCATTGATCATTACATTCATCATAAACTTTAAAACTTAACAATTCTACGATTTGAGTCTATTTTGAGACAAATAATTTTGCTAGAGTTGGACAAGAAAAAGATAAATGAAGGTTAGCATACAAGTTAAAACCTTGAAAAGTCAAATAAAATCCTAGACATCTGACACCTGAAACAGACCAAGTAAATGAGCAAATACTAAAGATCCACATAGATAATTCATCTTCCAAACCAGATCTTTGTTAAGAGGCTGTTAGGCTCCTAGTAGGATTTAATTGTCCTGTAAATCCAGATTTAATAAATCTTGCATGGGTTAAATCCTGAAAAACTATTTAGTAATAAAATATTAAATTTTAATTTATGTTTGTTTGATTAAAATCCTCTAATATTAATAAATAGAAGCCTTGGGAAGCAAGCGACATCCCCGAGAAGAGTGCTACCACCTTGAGAAGCAAGTCACCATATCGAAAAGAGTGCATATTAAATTTTAAAAGCCTAATATACATGCTATTTAATCTCCGATGATGGCCGAGTTGAATGTTTATATCAACAGGAGGGGATTAAATATTCAAAATGCCCTCAAATTTCTAGAAAATACAAATATTTTGAAATGAGCCCAAAGTTACCCCGATGATGGTCGTGCTGAAAGCTGATCTCAATCGGAGTGGATTTCAAACATTTAAAATACTCACGAATTTCAAAATTAAATCATATTTGGAACAAAATCTCGATAAATTTTGTAATATTCAAATGAAATTTATTCTTTAAAACTGCAAAAATCCATCCATCATTCGCAAACATTTGTTAAGGATGATGAATTTCAGAGTAACTTCAACTCACAAAGAGCAAAATGTCTAATTGAATGTATCATTGTGATTTATTCTCAAATGATTTCTCGCCAGCGGGGACGTGGCATGTCCCCTCTGACCGGTTGGTTTTGCTGCAAAGAAAATAGCACCACTATATCACGGTTACAATCAAAGCCTGTATGTTCTCCAATGGTTAAAAGCCCCTTGAGTAATGAATCACAGGGTGCATCCAATAAGGCATAAAGCTTTCTGTTAGATAAGATTGACTAAAATTTGTCTCCTTAAACAAGCATCCACCCCATGTCTACAAGGTCTCCTTGGACGAAGCAACCCATGGCTGCCAACAAAGATTCTTCGATCAGGTTGGGTCGACTACCTCCTCTGACTAAGTAGACTAGGGACCACGATGGCCCGGGACGACGGAACCAGGGGATCTTGATCGGGCTCATCATTATTTCCCCCACCATCCGCTTTAAGTATAAAAAAATAATAAATTTATAAATCTACAAAAAATTTACATGTTGCTACTATATGCAAGGTATTTCATACCTATTTAATGACTAGCCTTAATCGAAAGTGTTCTCTAGTGATCGAGAGGAGTAATTAACCATAGGTGTTTGCGCCTATGGGAAACCTAGAACCATATTTTAAATGAGGGCGAAATCTCTGGGTAGTGTTTTATCTCTAAGTTCATCTGCCTTCTAAAAATTTGACCCGGAACATCGTTAAAACTCTCCTACACAGGAGAGGCCGGGACACAAATTTTTGGAGCCCACAGATTTCTGGCGACTCAGCTGGGGATAGGTTTATCTTTCCATCTTCGGCTAGTCATATATAAGCTATAATACTAAATTCAACATCATAAAATATAATCTATAATTGCGAAAATATCACGCTTCTCTATTTATGTTATTTTATTTTATTGTGTCTCTGCATGTTGAAAGTGTGGGGTAATCTATCAAAACTTTGATCACTGATTCTTGTCTTTCATTTGTGCAGATGGATATTCAAAATACTCCTTTTACTGTAAAGCTTGGGCGTGGAGCAAATATCCGCCTAGCCAATGATGTAATAAATACTGGAAATACTGGGGCCATTATCCAGTTTGGTGGGCTACAGTTTCCTGCAGCTACTACAATGGCTGCCGCCATTCCTGTGAATGGCATGAACTCTGAAGGGTCCGCTGGGAGGATTTCTGCGTTCGAACGATTGTCACAATTGGAAGCTCCAACCACCAAGAGAACTGTGACTGGTGGAAGGGTTTCAGTGGTATCTTCCAATGCCACTTCTCTATCGACCGGGTTACCTGCATCCGAAAAATATAATGTTGAAGCCTCCTCATCTGGAGGAGGGCTTACGAGAAGACAAATAAGGAAGAGAAATGCAGAGTTACGCGCTCAATAGTTGCCGGTACCAGTCCATCCCTCCAACCTGCCAGCACACGAACCAGAGATCAATATTCCCACTCAGAACATATTCACTAACCTGAAGTGCATAAAGAGAAACAGTTCTTCTGGTGAGCTCAAGCGACCCTTCTGGGAGCGTCGACCTGAAGCCTCGACCCCTCAAAAAATGAGGGAGCCTGAACGTCTATCTGCTCGAGTCCACCGAGTGTTAAATACAGTCAAGGAGAAGGGCTTAATGAAGAAGAAGTTTCAAAGGCCACTAGTCATCGAGGCCAAGAAGACCCCTCAGAGGGAAAGGCTATCATATGCCATGATAGCAGAAAGGAGAAAAGAAAGGAAGCAAGCTCTGTGGAAAGCACATCGGGGCGTGACACTTGGACCGCATGTCCAAGAATCCACCGCCGAAAGGGCCCAATGGAAAGGAAAACAGATATGGAGGCCAAAACCTCACAAAGAAAATTCTAAAGGCGTGACATCTGGAGTATATTCCCAGAGATCTGTTAATAACAAAATCCAACAAGAATGGATTCCAAAGCAAATATTTCCTGATAATACTCATGGTGGTCAACACTTGGAGAATCTTCCAAAGGATCCCATCATCTAACCATAGCTTCTGAAGAGGAGAAGGTGCTTAATTTTGATCCTCTAGTTGAGAGTTTGTTGATGCCCAATGTAGAACCAGACGTTCATTGGAGACATCGTTCAGAAATTCATGTAA